AAGACAGCATCGAATTCTCTGGAGCTGCTCTTACAGGTGTGAGCAGCCGAGATGGATTTTGAGGGCTGAAACCTGATGCTCTGCAAGAACATCAAATTCTCCTAACTTTTGAGCCTTCTCCCTGGCCCTTTAAAGTAAATGTTTTAGTTAACATCCTAATACTGGGCTTCATTACAGCATTTTATACACGTGTGTCATGATCCTTTGTTTTGTTCATCTTCCTCCCCAATCCCTCCTCCTTGCCACATGCTGTCTCTTTCTGGTCACTTCATTTACTCCAAAGACCACCTCCTGCTTGCTTACTCTCTCCCTCTTGCCCATCCCTCTTTTCTTCCCCTCCCCTCCCCTCCCCTCCCCTCCCCTCCCCTCCACTCCCCTCCCCTCTCCTCTCCTCCTCCTCTTCCTCCCCTCTCTCTCTTTTTCCCTCCCTCCATTTCTTTCTTTTTCCCTTTTATTGAAAAGAATTGTTTATCTCACATAACATATCCTGATTATGGTTTCTCTCCCTTTACTTCTCCCAGCTCCCCTCCCACCTGGATCCACTCTGTTTTAAAGGATAATAGTAAGGTATACAAAATAAAATATACTAAGATTAGAGAAAGAACCTATCAGAGCTGTTACACTGAGAAACTGTGTCTTCAAAAACAAGCAAGCAAGCAAACAAATGAAGAAAAAGAAAAAAAAAAAGAAAAAGTGACACTCTGTAAGATATACTGGGGCAATGATGCCTCAGAACTGGCAGGAATGGCCAATGGATGTTTGGTTCAACTTGAGACCATGCCACAAGAGGAAGCCCACAAGCAGCCACGAACCCTCTGATCTACAATGGTGTCCTACCTGCAAAATACGCTATGGCAATGGTGTCACAAAGTTTGTAGGAGTAACCAACCAATAACTGATAGACTTAAGGCCCACTCCACTAATATGGAACTCTCACCCAACTCCACTTGGGTGACTAAGTACCCAAGACTAGATAACTTGGTGGCTAGGGGAAAGCCAGAATAATACTAGTCCAAAAAATTAGCAACACAGTGACTCCTAATGACATTCTAATATATGCCTCGACCATCATCAGAGAAGCTTCCTACTGTACCAGAAGGAAATAAACGCAGAGACCCACAGCAGACATTATGAGGAGAGTGAGAGACCTTGAAACACTCAGCCCCAAATGGGACGTCTCTATTAGATCCCTCCCTGCCAGGGCTCAGGGAAACTTTAGGATGAGGAGGTGGAAAGAGTGTAAGAGCCAGAGGGGATGGGGGACCCCAGAAAACAAGGTCCTTTAAATCATTATGAGCAAAGCTCATATGAACTCACAGAGGCTGAGGCAGCACACATAGGTCCTGTGTAGGTCTGCACCAGACCCTCTGCGTATCTATTATGGTTTGCAGTTAAGTGTTTTAATGGGGTTCCTGAGTGTGTGAACAAGTGGGCCTCTGATTTTTTTTGCCTTCTCTTGGGTTCTTTTCCTTCTTTTGCTTATCTTGTCCAACTGTTATGCGATAGTCCCCCCGCCCAGGCTGTGTGGCCTTTGCTGTCCTGGAACTCACTCTGTAGGCCATGCTAGTCTCAATTCACAGCACCGTTCATTGGGGATGCTGCCTTTTCCCAGCATGGTTCTGGTTTCTTTATGAAAAATCAGATGTCCATAGGTGTGTGGATTTATGTCAGAGTTTTCATTTTGATGCTATTGATCACTATATTTAGTCCCTCGTCTTTTCTCTCTGCCTCTCTGCTGCTGCCCTGCCCTTCCCTTTCTGCCCCCTACACCGCTCCCTCTGCTCTCTTGCTCTCTTCCTTCTCCCTCTCTGACTCCTAGCTCTGTGCTGTCTCTTCTCTCACAGCCCGACTCCAGACAATTCTAGGCTGCTTTTCAGGGTCCTACCCAAACTCAAAACATAAGTTCAGTCATATAGTTTCTCTCACGCCACAAATGTCACAATGTCTCATGCACGTAGCTCAAGGTCGGTGAGGGATCCTAGACAGAAATTAACATTGGAAATCAAGACTTAACAATAGCAATTAGTTAGCTGGACCTTGAGCCTGAGGCTGGGACTACGTGCAGACCTAAAGTTGTATCAAGCTCTGGCTTTGAATCAGCACAACACCTGGGAGAATGACCTTGTGTATTTGTCTCTAGGGTAAAGCCGCCTGCATGGAATTCTCTCTGAAGTCTGAAGTTATCTTGTCTGTGTGAAAGACGTTCTTTGTGACTGAGAACGCTATGCCAGTCTGAGCAATGTAAGATATCCTCGTGCTATTCCTGTTCATCAATATTTCACACCTTAAGCAGAGAATCATCTTCTGGCCGTCCACAGCCATATGTGTGCCCAACAAGTATAAAACACACCACCAAAGGACTGTGCAAAGAGCCCCACAGCTGTTCTTATTAGGGAGGCAGAGCAGTGGTACCCAAGAAAGTTACGGGAACAGCCAGTCATTCCATCAACAAGCCCACGGCTTTGCTAAGTAGGGCCCCCAGCGATGCCCGGTGAGGCGGCTTCGCCAGGTAGGACTCTCCGACAGTGGCTTGTTAAACACTGGTTCTCACTGCTGTACAGTTCCACGGCCCTCAGCAAAGACTATTAATTTCTTCAGCCCCCAGTTGTCACACTGTCCTACCAACCCTAACTCCCCTACCTTTCCTGGCTTGTCATCTACTCTATCCAACCCTTTCACAGGTGACCCATTGTGTTAAGCCAAACAAGTGGCCATTCATACTCCTCATTCCCTGCAGACAGGGCCTGCCCTCAGGATCTTAGGTGAGACAACTTCTTTGCAACCCTTGGTCTCCATTGGGTCCCAAAAAGAGCATATTTGAAGGAAGCACCCCCATTAGCTCATCCAGAAGATGAGATTTTGTTCACGATGCTGCCAACTCAACTGGCTACAATTGCCACATCATAGGGCTACAAGGCAGTCAAAAGACCACCTAATGACAGAGACATCCTCCCTGCCACCATGGGAACACCAGACCCTCCCTTCATCCAAGATGACAGTAATATTATCTAGCTATAAGCTTGCCTGAAGAGGATGAGAGCCTCATGAAGAAGAGAAGTTATATACTGTGGAGAAATTATAGAAGAGATTTTCTCCTCATGGTTGGACATGAAGGACAAACTTTCCAATTCAGACCTTCTACTAAGGGAACCCGAGGCCCACAAGGGGAGGGATAGCCCTTCAGATCAAAAGAATTAAAGTTGTGATATATTGAGACAATGGATTTCTTCTGTCAGAGGACAGAGAAATTTACAACAGAGACAAAATCTTATAACTCACAGATGATGCCAGCCTCCCCCAGCCCCTGGGCTGTGGCACTAGTGCCCCGTGAGGGCCACACAAATAGACGAGGTGGAGTCCATGAAGCCCCCCCATTACCCTCAGAAGATATGTTAACACTCTGGCTGCGCCTGGAGCTCCCCTCATAGAATCCAGAAGGAAGAAAAAGAACCATTGAAAAAGGGGCTACTGGAAACCAGGAGGGCTGGCTGGTTGTCACAAGAGGAAGCAGTAATTCCTGAGATTTGACAAGGTCGAGGGCCAACCCATCTGGAAAAACTGCCCTACAAGAATTATTGCTGACATACTTGGTGGCCTAGACATTGCCAACACTGACCAAATGAGTTGGCAAAGCCTGTCAGCATTGTGCTTGGAACGACCCCAAGCAGGGACCCAAGGCCCATAAGCTGATACAAAAACAGGGGTCCTTCCTACCCATCAAGACATCTAGCAGTGGTTTCACTGACATCCCACCCAGCAGAGGGGCTGGTACTTGCTGGCTTGGCATGCGCTTCTCAGCTGAGTAGGAGCCTTTCCTACCACACAGAGGATTGACTTGGACTTGTGCTCATGATTCTGCCCCATCATTAGGATGGGTTGAGAGAAAAAGTATAGCTTTGAAACGACACTGATTAGAGCAGCCTCTGAAACTGGCCATCTCCAAATAGCCTCACAATGGGGACGATGACTCAGGTCCCAGTCTGCCTCCTGATGGCCTCCTGATTCTGTGGATGTGCACCTGTGCAGTCCCCACTTAGCCTCTGACCCTGCCACAGAAATTAGGCTGGAGAACAACCTTGTCCCTGGGCATCTCCAATTCCTGAACAGTCATCAGTGTAACTTACTGCCCCTTAGAGGGGTTCCGTCTTGTCTCCTCCATGACGTACTACTGGGGAAGACGCCAGCCATTTACCATCCACAGACCGCATCATACTGTGCACCAAAACAGACTGTGATGTCTTTTGGAGATGGCCCTAGCCGGTGACAGTTTATAGACAGGTGGCCAGGGGACAAAAGATCAATTTCAGGGAAACCTATTGTTCAGGAAAGCAAAGTCACTGTGCAGAATCAGGTCAATTCATGAACAGCAATGTCCCTCCAAAGCCATAGAGGCCTTGATAACAGCTGAAAGGGAGGCAGAGCCATGGTTTTAAAAGCAGAATGCTGATCAGTCAGAAATAGTATGAGAAAATGCCCAAAAAGTTACAGTAAAGATTAAGGCTTGAGGTCCAATTGAGAGACAATGAAGTACAGTATGGACATCGTGGGGACCCTGATGGCTCTGCTACTGTGGCCTCTTATGATGGATGACACTAGGACTCCTGTAAGGACCACGCCTCCTAACACCTGTCCAGGTTCATCAGAATTAGAATAAAAACAGGAAAGCCGTAGATGACGAACCAGGGTGTCAACCTTTCCTTCAAGCAAAATTCGTAAGGTGTTATGAAGATAAAGAGATAAAATGAAGCAGAATGAGGTAGAAAAGCCGAACAATTAGATGTTAATCTATTGGATTATTTTATTAGTTACTTAAAACTCTGCTTGTATTGCCCATGTTCCAAAATGACTTCAAGTGGAACAAAATGACCTGGAATTGTGATTGTAAGAAACATGGGTCATTGCCCTGAGTGACCTGTGACCTCCACGCAGCTCCTGTGAAATCTTGCTTGCTTGGCTGCTCCAGCTTGTGGTCTAGAGTATAAAAAGGGAAAGCCAACTAGACTTGGGGCCAAAGTCTTTCAAGGTTTTTTCTGGCTTCGGTCCACTGGGAATTCTCCTGTGTTCCACCCCATTTGCTGGTGGAGTGCCCCAACACCGCTTTGTCAAATTTAATTCTGTCAAAATCCCAGTCGTCTCAATTCCCACACCTGTGTAAGTTCTGTTCTTCCGGCATCTCCAGAGGACTGTGCATTGCCCTGTGCTCTGCATTGCCAGGTGGGCTCTTAGCCACCTCCTCTGGAACATACACAGGCCACTTACAGGCAACACTTGGGTGAGCGCGGTGACGTGGGGCGCCTCACTGAAGCCCACGGCTGTGTCAAGATGACTGACAGTACCTTCTTGTTCAAGGGGATTCCAATGCAGGCTGATTTCGTTAGTGTGGAATCTCTGTTGTTTGCTCAGAATTTTTTGGTGAAAGATGATGATGTCATCATAGTGAGCTACCCTAGATCAGGTAAGAATAGTGTGTGTGTGTGTGTGTGTGTGTGTGTGTGTGTGTGTCACTTGGGGGGGTTAATCTATGTCTTAGTTACTGTTCTTTTGATGTTAATAGACACCATGGATAAGGCAACTAATAAAGGAAGATATTTATTTGGAGACTCGCTTACAATTTCAGAGCATGAGCACATAATCATCATGGTAGAGGACACTGTGACAGACCAGCAGGCATGACACTGTGGCAGAAGCTGAGCGCTCACATCTGATCACAAATTTCAGGGAGACAAAGAGAGAGGGAGAGGGTGAGGAAGTGGAGGGGGGATTGGCCTTGGGTGGACTTTTGAAATGTCAAAGCCCATCTCCAGTGATACCCTTCCTCCAACAAGGCCCACATGTCCTCCAGCAAAACCATGCTTCCTAATTCATGCCATACAGCTAACTAGAGATCAAGAATTCAAACATAGGCCATTCTCATCCAAATTACCACAATCTGTATACTTTTTCCCATGCTAGTTGCACCATTTTATATATCTTCCAAAAATGCTTATGAAATTTTCAACAAATTCAGTTCCTTAAACCCCATTCTTTCAGGTTCTTAGCAGACATAAATAGGAATGATGGATTAAAATATTAGTCTAAATAAGTTATATGTTTAAAATTATGAAAGAATAAAAATAAAAACCACATAGCTTAAAAATATTGACTATTTGTGACCAACTTAATCCTTGGCCTGCCTCCTCTGTCCAGAGGTTAGGGAGTGGGGCTGAAAATACAAATCCTCTAGTTCTGACGTAGGGATTTAGGTGACCAGTACATCCCTGGGGTACTTATGGAAAATGGCCACTTCTTTTACACACAGAAAACTTCTGCTCTACAGAGATTACATGATAGTAGCAGTTTTGTGCTAGGAAACTTGAAGATAGACTCTATCTATCTATCTATCAATCATCTATCTATCTATCCATCCTCTATCTATCTATCTGTCTGTCTTTCTGTCTGTCTATCCATCTATCTATCCATTATGTATGTATGTATGAATCTATCTATCCATCTATCTATTATCTATCCATTCATCCATCTATTATCTATCACTATATCTATTTATCTATCTATCTATCTATCCATCTATCTATCTATCGCTATATTTTCGTCTAACAACTCATGTACCTACTTCTCTATCTATCTTGGTCTAAGACTGAGCCTGGGGCACAGATTCTTACATCAAGCAAATGTGTAACTGAGAAGATATCCTCACATTGCTATTCTGTCATTGCTAATTCGTTCAGTCCATCCTGTTTTAGGACTGTGTCTCCCAAATGTACCCCTGGCTTGTAGGTTTCCACTTGCTCTCATCAGTCTCTAAATCTAGGGCTGTTCTCAAGAAACACACAGTTTCTCCTTTCCAAAGACCCGGGGATGGGAAATGTTGAGAAGGGGCAGGCGATGAGGTTGGCTCAGGGCTCACTAACTGTCAGACACGGAGATGGTCAGCCCTGAGCACGGCTTGATTTCCAATGGACTCTGCCCTTTCCAGGTGTGTGAGCTGGAGCACACTCCATCTTCTAGGTCACCTTATTTTCAGACAATAATTATTTGTACTTCAAGAGTTAGTATCTTCCCCAGTTTCAATTCTTTTCCTGTGATAATAAACAACTTTGAGAAAAGAGTTAACTGAAGTAGAAAACCGCAGGCTTCAGTCTATCATTGAGAGGAAGTCAAGACTGAAAAGCATGCAAGCTTAGCCACACCACATCCACAGTTAAGGGAAACGAATGAACAGTCTCCACCAACAGAATGGCCCACCAACGTGGTCTGAAACGTTTGGGACTGATGCCCGCCACATACTTTGGGTTCAGATGCTCATGTGCCTACTCAGGGTTGGGAGGAAAGTAGCTGAGACCATGCCTGCAGCTCAGTGCTCCCCACCATGGCAGGAGCTGGATCAAGTCTGCTAGGAGTGCACAGGCAGGAGAGCATGGCGGATTCCAATCTCCATACACAGAGATATTCCCAGGCCATGCAGTTTGCTGCATGGCATATTGAACTATTACTCAGATAAAAAGGGTTTATGTGCTGCACACTCCTGCTCAAAGTTAAAGCTGTGAGTGCAGAAGGTTTTAACTTTTACATAGTCAAATTACATAGAACAAAACAGGTATCAAGCAAGAATTACAGTCACAATATTTATATCTACTTTATCTTTTATCATAACTAAGGAAAACTATAATTATAATTATCTATTATTCAACTCCATCAAAGATCACAGAGGGATATAACATTACCTAAGTAAACAAGAAGTGCATTATAAGCAACTTCCAAAATTCTAGAATCGACAGAGACATTCCACTTCCTGGACAGTCACCCAAAGTTCTTCTGTAACATTGGGGCATTCAGTCTTTAGCCTACAGGCCCACAGTATTCAGCAGACTTTTCCATGAAGCTGCAAATTTCAAAGATAGTTCAAAATATTGGCAGTTTGTCAGTCACTTTCTTCTGTGTCCTGCAGAATGTCTGGCAGACTCTTTCATGAAGCAGGAAACCTGAAGGAACATCTCACCTTTTGGGCAGTTCTGAAGTCATTTTTCTGTGGGTCCTGCATATTCAGTTCATACAACATAACAGCAAGCAGCCCAGCCAAGAGCAACTTCTTGCCCAAATGGCTAACCAGTTCCACAGGAGCCTCTTCAATAGCCATCATCCTCTTGAAGGAAATTGGTGCTGCCAGGAGCAAATGTGCCTCATTGTCATGGAAAGTTCTAAGTTCTTAAAACATTTTAAATCTCATATGCTGTTAAGTTTTTGAAAGGTTTGAAGTATATCTATCTAACTGAAATACATCCCTGTAATTCTAGAAAACCTAACTAACATGACTAGAAGCTTGACTATTACAGATGATTATCTATTAACCTATATTTCTTAACTAATATTACACATTTAAACGAGCCACACAAACACAGTAACTTAATTAAGAGCAGAAATACATATATAAGAAAACTGACCTTAAATTTTTTATCAAGAAACCAAGATTCATACCAATGTAAAGTATTCATCTCTATAGCATATTACCTTTTAAATGTAAACAAACATTTATAAACAATATTTGGTAATTTGGTCTTAGTTCTCCTCAAACTGCTTCCTGCTTTCTGTTGGGTGAATTAATTTTAGGCCTCGAGGAGACCTTGTGTGAGTCTTGGACCATCAAACCACATTAATCTGGAAGGATTCCACAGGTTCTCATCCTTTGTGGAAACAAAAGCTGAACCTCTTTTCCAAAGACACATATCCTTAGACCCAAATTTTAAGTTAAGATACCTTTAAAACATAAATGTTGGTTTATCTTAGAGGACCCCAGAATAAAATATCTCTCTGTAGTCAAAAAATTCAAAGAAAACACAATAATGTACATAATCCAGACTCTCTGTGTATATTACATCTTTATTCCTTTAATCTATGACTGTCAGTGCTCTGTCTCTTTAAAGACTTTACTTTTTAAAAAAAAACATTTGCTTCATTTTATAACTATTTCCTCTCTCTCCCAAGCCTACATACATTTATCCAACACTGTGACCAATTTAGAGATCTTTTTCATTTGAATCAGTCTTTAATACGTGTCTGTAGTTACTTTCTGACCAGGAGAGCTTTTTAAAAAATGCTTAGTTGGTGTGGCTAGGACTAACTCCATGGTCCTGCCTGCTTGCTCTGCCTAGCCCAACATGGTAGAGGCATGTTCACTGCCTCTGAGAGCCTTGCACTCCAGGGTTGCAGCTGCTCTGTGTTACCACTAAGCAATTTATAACATGCTGCTCACAGACCCCGTTTAAGTGTTCAGTCTCCTGGAAGAGCCAGAGCTGTTCTGTAACTAGCATGAACCAGGAATCTGCCATTTTGAAACCATGCAGTTTTCTGCTGCTAATGCAGATCAGGAAGACTTTTTCTAAAGGAGCTGTGGTGACCCTGCTCGATGCCAGCAAATAGAGCGCATCTCAAAAAAAAAAAAAAGTCGGTTTCCAAGAAGCTGTGATGAACTCTATTCTTTTGTGTCCAGAATTCCTTTCCAAGCTTTCTGAGGTTTTATGTGGATGTAGCTGACCCCACGTTGGTACGCCAAATTGTGATCAGAGGCTGCTTGTTTGCTCCTGGCTGCCCAGACCCAAATAATCACTCTGAAACTCTATTAATTACAACACTGCTTGGCTGCTTGGCTAATGACTCTAGTGTATTCCTAGCTAGCTCTTACATCTTAATTTACCTATTTCTATTAATCTGTGTATCACCGTGTGGTTGTGACCTACTGGTAAGGTTCTGCCCAGCATCTGGCATCCAGCATATGTTCTTGCAGTGGCTACATGGCTTCTCTCTGACTCCATCTACTCTTTCTTTACATCTCTGTTTGAATATTCCACCTTGCCATATTTTGCACAGCATCAGCCCAAAGTAGCTTCTTTATTAACCAATGGTAATTCACAGTGTACAAAGGGGACTCCTATATCAGAAAAGGCAGATATATTTAAAATGCTACAAATTTAATGCAATGTCTACATTACATTCTGCTACTGTATTTATACATTCTTTACTATGTCAGTTAAATTTGATGTGAGTGGAGAACATAAGAACTAAGGTAAGGCAGGGCTGGAGAGATGACTGCACCATTAAGAGTGTCTGCTCTTGCAGAGACCTGGGATCAGTGGCTACATATGGTGGCTCATAACCGTCTGTAACTCTGATGTAAGTTTTTGACTTTGGGAGTCAAGGCAGTATCTCAAACAGGGCAGGAACCTCGAGGCAGGAACTGAAGCAGAGGCCATTGAGAGATGCTGCTTACTGACTTTCTCCTCTTGTTTTACTCAGTCTACTTTTGTCTCTTATACATTCTACAACTGCTTGCCCATGGTTGAACTGTCCACACTGGGCTGGTCCCTCCTATATCATTAATCAAGACTGTATCCATAGGCTTCCCTATAGGCCAATTTGATGGTGGCATTTTCTCAATTGCAGTTTTCTTTTCCCAGGTTACTCTAGCTTATGTCAAGTCGACAAAAGCAGTCAAGCAAGCAAGAAAACAAACGTATAAATAACCAGCCATGGTGGGGGGGGTTAAAAGTGGAGGACATAATAGAACAAAGGCAAAAGGAAAGTATAGAGGGGTAAAACTGTGGGTGAAAAGATTTAAACAGGGATGTGGATGTGAGGATTAGGGATAAGAGGGGAGATGGGAATAGAGGAATGGAGGAAGGATCAACCAGAATTAAAAAGTATAATGAAGCCATGTGGCTTGTATCCCAACAGAAAACAGAGAAAGGGAAACATAAGAATAAAGCCAAATAAAAATACCTTCATCATTCAACATATGAAACATTTTCCTTACTATGTTAATGTAATACAAAATTTGATTGTTTCCCATTGTCCCACAACCAGGAACACACTGGATGATTGAGATAGTCAGTCTGATAGTCTCCAAAGGGAACCCTACTTGGGTCCAAACTGTCAAAAATTATGCCAGGTGTCCAGGGCTCGATTCTAAAGATTGGCAGAAACTATTGCTGGACCAGGATGGACCACGTCTCATGGCTACACATCTGCCCATACAACTGTTTCCCAAGTCTTACTTCACATCCAAGGCTAAGGTGAGTGGATGCTGGTCTCTGTGATGAAACCTTAGGAGGACCCTCTTTCATTTGATAAACTGGCACACACAAGGGCATGTCCAAATCCATGACCTGTATGGCCATGTTCCTAATATTCACATGTATGGAAACATAGCTGAACCCAGTGCTTCATTAACTGGGCAATGAATGATTAATGTTGACAAATGTTTGTTAAGTCAGGAGTTTGCTTTCAGTTTTGCTTTTTCTTTTTTTCTTTCCCTTTTTCATGTTTGTATATGTGGTGTGCAATGTGTG